TGTATACATTGAACAATTCCAAACATTGTTGAGTGAATACTCTTTGGAGTGATAAGTTTTAAATGTTCTGATTTTACACTAAAAAACAGCGACAGACTTAATCCATGGAGAGTCAGTTGTAACGGTATGATTAACCAAGGATTCTTCAAGAAGTAAAAGATGAAATAACGAACCGACCAAAGAAATGTGCATATAATCATTGTGTTAAATGTTCCTCTAAGTAGTTTTATGATTACTCCATTAAAAAAATTTACAATCACACCTGAGGTTGATCCAAACGCTACTGTTAATCCAATTAACAAATTAGAAGATTTAAGTTGCCTCATAAATAAAAAAAAATAGCTCAAGTATATGCTATACAAGAGACCGTTCACAATGATTGTGATAAAAAAAAGGTTAACTTCTAAGCTTAACAGTGTTTTTATAAGATCTTTTTGAAAAGATTCTGACCTTAATTCTTCTTTTTCTTCTTTTTTTTTAAATTCTGTTTTAGATGTACTTCTGTACAAATATTGGAAACTTATACATGAAGCTGATAAAAATATTACAGAAACTAGATAAACGGTAAAATAGCATGATATGTCTGGAATTGAAAAAACATCCATTACTTTTCCTGAAACTAATGTCCCGCAACCAAAGCCAATATTTCCAAACAAATATTGCCTCCCAAAGTTTTTCTTTTTAACCGATGCTTTCACTTTTTCAATAACTCTAGCATCAATATAGCTGTAAATACTTCCACTAAAAGATGCCATAAAAAAACCTAAAGTTGCTATAACATATGTCAGGGTTGTTGAAGTTACTGGAACATATCCACCAAATTGTTTGTTAATTAATGTTGAACTGTTTACCGTGTTGTTAGAAACATTGTTGCTTAATATAATTGGACATTGGTTTTTACTTCTTTCTCCTATTCTTGAACTAACGACAGAAATTGACAATGAAAGGGTACCATAAAAAAAGCATAACAATATAAATATAACACGTTGTGCACCAGTTTTGTCAGCTATAACACCCCAAAAAACACTTCCTACAATTTGACCAACGTAAGAAAAAGAAATAACGTAACCAACTTGTTTTAGATTTAGACCAATACTTATTAAAAAAATGGTTAGAAAAGGTGCTACAGACGACTTTTCTGCACCCGTGAAAAAATAAGTTAATTTAGCTGGTATCATATCTTTATCAATGTAGTACCACTTTTCTTTATTACAAGCATCTTCCACATTTTCTAAATTGGTGCCGTTAATTGATAAATTCAAATTGTCACTGTGGACATGCTCTTGCTTAGCGGTTTTGGTATTATCCATTTAAATTTTTGTTTTAGCATATATGTAATTAAATAAAATTAACTTCGTTTTACACTACTACAAAATTATACAAAATTTCTCTTCATTTTGTTAAACAAATAAAAGAATATAAGGGTAACAAAATATTGACTCATTCAAGCCAACATAGCTTAACATCATACAAACAAGGCTGAACGTAATCACACGTCTGATCTCAGCTACGATAAAATTTTGTGGATAATCGATGCAGAACCTGAGATAAAACAGTTTTAATTTAAGTTGATTTTAAACGAATTCCTTTTAGTAGTATTTTTTTTTATCTTCTAATTTTTTATTGCTTTTTCCTCTTTTTTTTTTTTTTTTTTTTGATTAAAAATTTAAATTAAATTAGAAACTACTTTTGTTGTTTTTGTAGTAAAGATGTAAAGCGGTATTTAAATAAATGCTGTTTATATATTTAAAGTATTTTGATTGTAACAAATAAAAGTCAAAACCGTCAAGTTAAATGTTTAAAATATTTTTCTAATATTTTTGACAAAGTTGTATTCAAATTTGTTTTTGATTTATAATGAAAAATGTATTAAAAAATGCAGATTAAAACGCTTATCGTTTATCTTTTAGAACAAAATACATAAGTAATCTTAATCCTATGTCTCACGGCAATACTAATTTAAAATATGTTAATATTTTTATTTTGTATTGTCGTGAGAAAACAGGATAAACGTTTTTACTCTACCAGACTGAAAAAAAGCAGAATAAGCAAATTATATTAGACTGAATTGTGAAAAGAGAGTCACAAATAGCAATCTTGAAAAATATAGAAGTCTCAATAAGCTTTTATGGTCTGTTACGCTCAGTAACAGGATCCATTGTATCTAAATTAGGGATTCTTTATCGGATCACATGGGAAAAATGGGGTCTATTATCCCATTTTTCCCTGATCCCATGTGCACATATGCACATTGCCCATATGCGCAGTGAGCCAGAATTTACTTTTACTGGATGAAACTATCATCTCGTCATATAAAATAGATTTAAATGACATTTTTTTTTATTGTTTACTAATGCGATAATTGCAATTTTAATGCTGGCATTAGTTTTAATTTTGGGTTGCTTAGCAACCACATGTTTTATTAACCACAATAAATATAAACTCGACAAATGTAACAACTTTATTGGACTACTTCCAAAATTACCACATTGAGTCTTTTTGTGCTACAAATGATAGTGACATCTGAAATGCCTTGCAATATTTCATTTTGCATTGTTACTAACATTTGTTTCTTAAACTATACTAATATTAATGTGGCAATCAGATTGAAAATTTTATTATATATATAAAAAGTCAAATACAGATATTTGGTTGGTAATTGGGTTTACTCAATTACTAGTTTTAGGTATTTTTATGCTCTATTTTATATTTTATGAGACTACAACTTAATCCATATAAAAAGAATCTAAAGCTTAAACCTTTTTGTGTATAAAATAATACAAAAGTTTTGTTAACTATCTTTCAAACCAAAACGCACATACTCTGATAATTGATAAATAACTTAAGCTTTCTTTTATTTACCATCTTGGCGCAAACTCCAACATAAAGAAAAATAGTTTTATAAAAAAGATGCACAGAAAGGCGCTAATCTTAATTTTTTGTTTTACTACTTGAATCATACTTAACGCCTAGCAGGTATACAACGTTGTGCTAACGTTATATTTATGTTAAAATTGCGTTTTACGTTACCTAATGTTAATTCAACGTTATATCAACGTAATCTTTTTAACGTAATATTCTTACGTTGAGCTAACGTTGACACAACGTTAAAAAAACATAGAATTATTAACCTAACATTCTAATGTTGAGCTAACGTACGGACAACGTAAAAAAAATAAAGAAATATTAACGCAGTTCTGCTAACTATAAAAAATCTACCGTAATTATTTATTTATTTATTTATTAAAGATGGTGTATGTATATAAAAAATGGTTGGCGAAAGAAACTATTACTCAGATGTCGATCAAAGTCCACTTGTAATTATGTGCATATTTGCTTGAGGTATAATTATGTTAGTTATAAAATTTTTAAATGCGCGAAATTTAAAGAGGCTTTTAAAAATACACAAATATCGAAACGATTAAAAATGGATGTGGCAATGAAAAGGTAGTTTTAAAAAATTATTTAGGGTTTCCATAAGTAATTTAACAAAGCATGAATGATTAAAAAAAAAGACTAAATAGTAAAATCGAATTGTTCACTAAATATTACAATAATAATACAAAAAAATTAAAGTATTTAAAAAGAAAATTTTTAGTGAAAGTTTTAAAATATAATATTATCATTATTAATATTATGTATTAGAACTTTCATTTTTTTAATGATAAGTCTATATATATTGGCTAATCATTGATAAGCCTATATATATATAGGTTTATCATTGATAAGCCTATTTATATAGGCTTATCAATAATAATATCTATGATAATTATCAATGATATAGCTATATATATCTAACTATATATATAGGCTTATTATCTATATCCACTTTTTAGTTTATAATTATTTCCTTTTTAGTGGAGATACTCGTTGTCTCCCATTTTTTAGTTTATAATTAGTACTGTTTTAGTGAAAAACATTCGTTTTTCTCTCTTTATTAGTTCCTGTATTATACACGCCAAATGGCAACATAAGGAATTTCGCCCTATTCTCATTTAAGAAACTATTTCTACAAAAATGGAACTAATGGGATCATCTCGAAACAAACAGTATAAGTGGACAGAATGTGATTTATATTTTTTAGTTAAATAAAGTGAAACTTTATTTAACAAAAAGATATTTATAGCTCTTAATATACGTTTAAACTGATAATAAAAACATTTTATTCTAAACCCATTTTATATTTTTAAGGTTAAAAACTGAATAAAACAATATAGTATGAGCTGTTTTATATAAAAAAAACAACCTCGCAACATTACTTTCGGGCAGGATCAAAATGTCTTGTTTTTCAAAAAGAATGACCTTCGTAAACTAAATTAGGAATTCACAAAAAAAAACTAAAAACAGTTAGAAAGGGGCAATAACACCTTAGCATGTAAAGTATTATAAACCCATCTTAACGTTTTTAGTTTTTCTTTGATTTCAAATTTAGGTCATTTCTTTTGAAAAACAGACTTTTTAATCCTGCTCTTTTATAAACCAAATATTTACTTATTTGTTGTTTTTTCTTTTTATTATTAGTATTTTTATTATTATTTATCATTAGTTGAAAATAAAAATGACAGATTTTATTTCTCAGCAAATAAAATGTTATCTTAAGCCCCTATTTTACTCAATTAAGGCTTAACATCTATATAAATATAAAAGTTATATTTTTGGCCACCTATTTCAATGAAATGTTACTACTGCGCGCTGGCTTCTTTAAGGTATACGCAAAAAGCAGCGAGTCACGCATCTAGTTATATTATTACGTTTTTGTTAATACTATAACGAATAAGATCTTTGTGGCGTCAGTTTGTAGAAAGAGAGGTAAAGGAAAAATATTAACTTAAGTTTTTTTTTTTTTTTTTTTTTTGATGTAAATACCGTATGAATTATTGAAATAATTATTAAAATACCATCAACTTTAATGATTATTAAAATACCAACAACTTTAAATATTATCATAGCGGCCGTGGCGCAGTGGTTAGAGCGCTTTCTTTAAAAGCAGGAGATCCTGGTTCGAAACGAATTCTGAACATATTTTTGCGTCACGATAAGGAAGGAGGTATAAACTTCCTATTTAAATGCATTTCCGCGGTGCTCTTTGACAAGACCGTTAGGTCTTCTTGGGCACCTAAATAATAAAATAAAAAAAATATATGAAAAAATAAAAATAAAAAATATTGTGCTTTTAGCATTATAAAACGCAAAATAAAAAACTTATAAAAATTTACCTTATTCCAAATATTTACAATAGATTTTACTTTCCAGTTATAAAAATTATACAATTAAAAAAATTATTGGAGATTTTTACAACTTTCAAAGATATAGTGTTATTAAAAATTTAGTTTTCATTACCTATATTAATTGTAGTATTTAACATGCAAGTCGAGTTGGGCTTTTTACCAACATTTATTTTCCATAGTTTTATTGCAATTATGTAAACACATAAAAACGATGTCCACCCTAGAGCAAAAAAGCAAGAATATAAAAATGTTAATCGAGCACCATACGCAAAATACAATTGACCTCCAATTAAACTTCCTACAATCATTGATACACCACTATACAAACATTGAACAATTCCAAACATTGTATTATGGATACTGTTTGGAGCTTTTTTTTTTAAATAAACTGACTTAACACTTAAAAATAGCGATACACTTAAACCATGAAGAGTAAGTTGTAATGGTATGATTAACCAAGGATTCTTTAAGAAGTAGAAAATAAAATAACGAACCGACCAAAGAAATGTGCATATAATCATGGTGTTAAATGTTCCTCTAAATAATTTTATAACTAATTCATTAAAAAAATTTACAATCATACCAGATGTTGATCCAAACGCTACTGTTAAACCAACTAAAAGATTTGTAGATTTAATTTCTTTCATAAACAAAAAAAAATAACCTAAGTATATGGAATATAATAACCCGTTAACAAAGGTTGTTGCTAAAAAAAGATCAACTTCAAAGGTTGACAATGTTTTGAAAAGATCTTTTTGAAATGAATCAGATCTAACTTCTTTTTGCGATGGTAATTTTGTATTTTTGTACAAATATTGAGAACTGATGCACGAAGCTATAATAATTACAACATTAACGCAAAACACGGCAAAATAACATGAAAGGTCTACTTTTGGAAATATATTCATCACTTCTGCTGAAATTAAGGCTCCACATGCAAAACCAATATTTAAAAACATATACTGCCTACCAAAATCTCTTTTTTTTGTTGACATTTTAATTTTCCAAATGACTCCTCCATCAATATAACTGCTAATAGTTCCACTAAATGAAAAAGCCAAAAATCCTAAGTTTGCCATAACAATGCTCATAGTTGTTGAGGATACTGATGTATTATCCTTAGATGTTCTATTTTTAGAAATGTTCACGGTGCTGTTAAAACAACATTTGTTTAATAATAAAGGACATTGGTTTTTTTCTTTTTCTCCAATTTGTGCACTTACCAACGGAATCGATAATGTAGTTAAAGCAGAAAAAATGCATAAAATTAATAAAAGAACTCGATAAGCACGAGTTTTGTCGGCTACTACTCCCCAAAAAACGCTCCCTAACATTAAACCAGCATAAGAAAAAGAAAACACGTACCCAACTTGTTTTAAATTTAAACCAATACTTATAAAGAACATGGTAAGATAAGGTGCAATTGATGATCTCTCTAATCCTCTAAAAAAGTAAGTAAGTTTTGCCGAAATCATATCTTTATCTATATAATACCACCTATCTGAATCATTAAGACTTTCCTCACTTTTTTGGTTAGTTAGGTTTAAAGGTAAATCCGAGCCGATAATTGTTTCAAAAGTTGTAATAGAATTCATTCTTATTGGCACTTTAATCTCTGATCTCAATTTTTTTATATAATGTTGAAAATTGTAATGCAATCAACATAGAGCCTCAGCAATCAATATGATTTTTTAATTTTATAATTCAAAACGAACGATGGTATTTACATTGCAAGACGCTAAAAAACAGCAGGCTTTATCCAAGCTTAAAATAATCCAAAACCAGTGGGAAAAAACATTAAAATATCAGTTTTTTAAAAACAATTTTATAGTTTATTTACTTTAAACTTCAATAAAATAATTTAGCATTTAATTTCACAAAGGTAAACAAATTGTAAGAAAGTACTCTTATGAAACAGTGAAGGCTTCTGAATAATTTTTTCAGATGTTTTGAAATCTTATAAACTTTTTTAGAATATTTTGGGTGTATATATCATTTTTAAAAATAACACGATGTGTTTTATTCTTGACATGTTTCGTAAAATTTATTTACTTTTTTAAAAAGATTATTTTACAATAATAAAACTATTAATATTTATTAAAAATAGAAGTCTTTACAGAGATATAATAATGGACAAAAGTTTACATAATGAACCAATATATTTATTACAAAATAATTCGGTAAATAAACAATCAAACTAACAAACTGTCAAAATAATAATAATAATAATAACAATAATAATAATAATAATAATAATAAAATGACAGTAAAATTAAATAGATAAGTTTATAACATATAGTGAAGTTTGTTTATTAAGTGAGGGCCTTTCCCATTTAATGTAGAGGGCTTCTTTTATCTTTAATTTGTGTTTGGTTGGGACATAATCAAATATCTCAAAAGAATCACAGTTAGCCAGATTTTTGCAATTAACAGATAAATTTAACTTTTTAAATATATGAGATTGTTGATAATTGTTATATATATATATATATATATATATATATATATATATATATATATATATATAATGTATATATATATATATATATATATATATATATATATATATACATATATATATATATATATATATATATATATATATATATATATATATATACATATATATATATATATATATATATATATATATATATATATATGTATATATATATATATGTATATATATTATATATATATATATATATATTTATATATATATATATATATATATATATATATACATATATATATATATATATATATATATATATATATATATATATATATATATATATATATATATATATATACATATATATATATATATATATGTATAAATATATATATATATATATATATAAATATATATATAAATATATATATATATATATATATATATATATATATATATATATTATATATATATATTTATATATATATATATATATATATATATATATATATATATATATATATATATATATATATATATATATATATATATATATATATATATATATATATATATATATATATATATATATATATATATATATATATATAGCAATTTTCAAATTTCAATTTTAATAAATAATTAATATAAATTTCAATTTGCATATATCAATCTTTTGCCTTAGTTACTTTTCACATAGAGCCTATATAATTTTTGAATTGAATAAAATGTTGTATGAAACTGAAATGATTAAAAAGTTGCATAATCAAATCTCTAATATTTTTTATTTAGGTTAAATATTTAATATAGAATTTATATGTAGGTACTTTTTTGCGTCACGCCACTTGCAGTACCTTTTTTGCAAGTCATGCCACTTGCAATTATAATTTTTTTAACTGTAAATAAACAAAATAAAAATAAACAAAAAGTATGCAAAATTTTAACTTAATATTTTTTTATTTAATATTGCAATATTAAATAAAAAAAGTAAATTGATGGCAAATTAAAGAAGACTTAAAATTAAAATACTTAATGAGAGCAATTATCATACATAATGAGAAAAATTAACTAAATTTTTAAATATAACTATGATAAAATATAAATTATAAACAAATTGGGTTGAAGTCATAACTGAATATTAGAAAAATTATATAACGATAAATGAAAAAATGATACACCGTAAAACGACTAAGATAGATTTTGGGCATATCTAATAATTAAAATTCGTTATAATATTCTTTCATTATTATTATTATTGTTATTATTGCTATTATTATTATTATTATTATTATTATTATTATTAGTGTTATTATTATTATTTTTAATACAACATTATATCTGTCGTTTATAGGGTTTAATAAAAATAACTTTTTTTTGTAGTACTTTTTTTTTATCTCCAAATGTTATCCATCTCATCCCTTTGTTGGGGTGATTTTAAAAATCTATTAGTTTTATAATGGCTTGTTAATTTAACCTTCTTCACAAGTTTCATTAATAGTTCTTTTTTAGGATTTATTATAAATTATAACATAATATAAAAAAATGTTATATGGCTTTAGAGTATGCTTCAGAGTATGGCTTTAATTTATCCTTGTTTGAGCATAAATTTTCATTCTAGACACATATAATTTGTTTGCTCTTAAGGTTAATTAATTCTCTAAATAATCAAGAAAAAATAAGAGCCATATTGTATAATTATATGAAGTTATCAATAAATAAATTAAAAAAATCTCGAGAAATCCTTGATAAAAAAAAAAATAATAATAATTTATTTCTAAAATAAAGCAGCGTTAACACTTCAAAACTTATAAAGTTCAAATTATTCAATTACTTAGCTAAATACATATTCACTTTTATAAAAGAATACTTATTTAGCTAACTAGTTAATCTTAACATCAATTTTGTTTTTTGCTGTTGAGTGATGCGTGTTAAAAACTTATTTAATTTAAAAGTTTATGTGTTTAGTTTTCTTTTGATACATAGTTTGTTATGCTTTTAAAAATAGTATTGTTATCGGCTTCGACTAAATCGACTAAGAGTCGACTAGTCGAAAGAGTCGAAATTAGTCGAGTAAGAAAAAATGAATAGTCAATTTAATCGACTATAGACTTCCTACAAAGCCGATTTAATCGAGTAAAAGTTTAAAAACCCCTTTATCTTGTCATTCGATTTAATTTTATCTTTTATTTTTGTTTGTTTTTTTAAAAACAAAAGTATGTACTATTATAACAAGAGATTTCATGGATAATGGTATTGCCGAATACCATTACTGCGGATAGACGCTCGGTCAAAGCATCAAATATTCGGCTACCTAATATGCGGTGATTTTTTTTTAATATGCGGTGACCTATTTTTAAGGGTTTTGACCTGGTTTATTGAAGTTTATATCGTGGGCATTCAGTCAAGTTAAAAATTGGCAGTTTTGACTTAATAATGCAGTATTGTAAAGTTTACAACACTCTACAAACTGTCAAAATAAAAGTTGAGTGAAACATCTTTAAAGATGTTTAAATGTATTTTTATAACCAGAGAAAAGCTTTTCTCTGGTTATAAAATTACCTTTAACGTTAACTCATAAAACGGGTATTTTATTTAGGCTAAAAGTTTTTAATTGACAAATAAAAAAGCTATAAATATTTTCTTGAATAAACACTTAACATTATGATCCAAAATAATAAGATTATGAAAGTTTGGAATTGGAAGAAAACTTAAATGATTGATTTCACTTAACAAGGATTTTTGAGTTGACGGTTATCGCCAGAACACCCATAATACCAAGTGAGCATAAAAACGTTTTGCGAGCTTTTTTTAATAGTCTTTTAAAAACGCTTTTTAATGGTTTTTTAAACGTCCATATGAAACGGTGACCGGACGTTTTTTAAAAACGTTTTGTGAAAGTTTTTTAACGGTCCTACAAAAACGTATTTTATTGGTTTTTTGAACGTCCATATGAAGCGGTTTTTATCAATTCTAAATGAAGCGTTTTATTGTTTTTAACGTTTTCCTAAAAACCTTAAGTATAAGTTATTTAAGTAAATAACTTATGTTATACAGAAAAAAAACTTTTTCACAAATAAAAACTTAGGTCTAACAACCTAGATCCGAATAAATAACTAAAAGTTTAATGTTTATTTACAATTTAAGCATACAAAAACATAATAAAGTAATTTTTATGCTATTCTATGAAGAGCTCTCTTCAAACAATCGCCTATCAACTTATCGACCAAATCGAACTTTGCAGTATGTGACACAAATGTTCCTAAAAAACCCATAGAAATCCTTCATGTATTTCACTAGCATGTAAAACATAAATCAAAATGTAAATAATAACAATGAGAAATAAATAATGTAAAATTTTGCGCAGTATATAAAAGGAACAATATAAACGACATACACACACATTTATTAAAATATTACCTATAAATATTCTATACAATATTTCCATAAGTTCCAGCATTCTTAAACAATACTTCAACACATTTTGATATAATTTCATTCAAAACATTATTAGCAGAAGCTGAAAAAGAATTTTAAAAATCATAGAATAAATTTAGTTTGATCACATTTTACTTTATTTTGGAAAAGTTTATACATAAATGTAAACAAGA